GTCTCACACTATAGCCCAGACTGACATGGAATTCACTTTGTAAATAGGCTTTGAACACAGGCTGCCCTTGAGTTCATGGTGATACTCCTGCCCCAGCCTCCTTAGTGCTGGAATTACAGGCCTGGACCACCATACCTGGCTCATATCTAATTTTGTATCTCTTTCTAGGTGTTAGCAGTGTTGGAGTGAACTGGAAGGTAGGATTAGAAACCGTAGTAGATCAGAATGTCAGGGATAACCAGGTTGATATCACATAAAGGTTGTTAGGGGCATGCTTATTTAGTTAAAGCTTGAATCTTTCTAGACTACAAAACAGGAGGTACATGCAGCATGTAGATAAAATATATACTAATGCTCAGATTTCTATGTTTTATTCTGGTATGTTGAAATTGACTTTTAAAACAAAACAAAATGAAAATGACAGTCTCATGTAGCCCAGGATTGCCTCAAACTTATGTGGCAGTGGATGACCTTGAACTTCAAATCTTCCTACATCCACATTCCAATTGCTGCCAAACCTGATTTGAAGATTGCTTCTTAGTCTGCAGAATTCAGAACTAGATAGAACAGATTTTCTGCTTCTACATTTTTGTATTACTGTTCATCAAAACAAGGACCTTGCACCTATAAAATGGACACTATCACTTAGCACTTATGTGGCAGTGGATGACCTTGAACTTCAAATCTTCCTACATCCACATTCCAATTGCTGCCAAACCTGATTTGAAGATTGCTTCTTAGTCTGCAGAATTCAGAACTAGATAGAACAGATTTTCTGCTTCTACATTTTTGTATTACTGTTCATCAAAACAAGGACCTTGCACCTATAAAATGGACACTATCACTTAGCCAGGTTCTCAGTCCATAACTCGGTGTAGCTTTTTAGACCACTTTATTCCAACCTGAGCACCTCAATATAAAACTAAACACTGGTGAACTAGTTTTCTTATTAATTCTGAGTTACTGTAAAATGTACAAGTTTTGTTAGCAGTTCACCATTTAGATTAAATCATCTCTGACACATGGAAGAGTTTATATAATGATAATACCTAAAATAATTAGTTAAATATATTGAACTGATGAAAATAAAATGGATTTTGAAAGACAGGATTGCAAAATTGTAATATTTAATTTGAAAATTACAGGTAATTTTCTGTATTATTCTGTATGATTCTGATTTTAACCAGGTGGAAAGAACTGAAACCCTTCCTGTCACAGGACTAAAAAAAGAAAGAGCAATCTGTTTTAGTAGCTGTATATTTTTTACACTTTTAAGTAGTTCATAATATTTCAAGAGAAATAATAAACATATTAGGAGACTACAATGTAGCACACTCTTTACAATTCAGGTGAAGATCATATTTAAGATAAATATGCTTGAATATACTTGTTAGTATAGTGACTATGTCATGTCCAAAGGGAATATCTCTTTGTCTCAAAGCAAAAGACCTAAATGTAATGGCCAACAGAAATAAAACAGAAATCACAGACACCTGGTTTGTTTCATTTGCACTGAACAGCTCACATGAATTGTACATTGTAGTCTTGTCATTTTTAAAAATGAGGTTAAAAAATGAAGATTGCATTATAGATGTATCACTTAGGGCTGGGCACCTCAAAGTCACTGTCTTTTTTTTCATTTATTCTTTTTTAAAAATGTTTTGTTTTTTTATTTTCATTTTATGTGTATGAGTGTATTGCTGGCATGTAGGTAGGTACACCCATGTTGACCAGTGCCTGTGTAGGTCAGAGTAGGGTGTTAGATATCCTGGAATTGGAGTTACAGATGATTGTTAGTTGCCATGTGAGTGCTGGTAATTGAACCCAAGTCCTCTGCAAGAGCAGCCAATGCTCTTAACTGTTGCACCATCTCTCCAGCTCCAGTCATATATTCTTTATGTTTGACCAGTTATGGAACTTTATAATAGTCTCCATCTGTTGCAAAAAGAAGCTTCTTTGGTGAGTGATGAGAGCTACACTGGCTTGTGAATATGTACTTAGAATATAGTAAGAAATTACATTTGTCTAGTGAAGTGACAGTACTAGGTTCTTCTCTAGGGACTATAACCACTCCACCATGAGTATTTGGCTATGTTTGTAGCACCATGCATGGATTGTCTCCTATTCAGCAGGTCTTAAGTTCAATTAGACAGCTGTTGATTACCCCCAGGATAAAAGTGCCACTCTTGTAGCAATAGAGATAATTTGCTGGACTAGTCATTGTTCTGGTAGGTAGATTTTTTAAAGCTGGGTAGGATTATTGATTGTTCTTTTTTTTCTCTTGACAGCTTATGTAGTATCTTCTGATACTATGAGAGCTGACCTGGAGGCTTCCAGGTCAATTCCAGCTCAATTGCTCCATGTACTATGTTCGAAGTATATTGTGTCTTCAGCAATGGGGTCTTACTTTTGATTTCTGTGGGGCAATCAAGGGTTGTGGCAGTAGCTTATATTATTTTTTGGGATTCTGTTGGACTACCCTGACCAACAAATCACAGGGAGGTTTCCCTTACCTGGCACCATAATTTTTGTTATATATCCTTCAACTATACACATATACTCACACATATATATTTTTCAGTAGGCTTATGAAATAATGTTTTACTTTGCTTTTTCATGCCACTTAAGTGTTCATTTTTAAATTTTCTATCCTTATTATTATTTTTATTTTATGTGTATGAGTGTATAGCCTGCATGTATGTGAGTGCACCCATGTCGTGCAATGCTGAGGAGGTCAGAAGAGGGCTTTGGATTCCCCTCGAACTGGAGTTAAGGATGATTCATAGCTACCATGTGGGTGCTGGGAATTGAACCCATGTCCTCTGCAAGAACAGTCAGTGCTCCTAACTGCTAAGCTCTCTCTCCAGTCCTGCCACCTAAGTGTTCTTTATTTCTCTTCTCCCTCCCCCTGTAATAGGCCTTCGTCCTTTCTCCTCTCTCCCCAGTTAAAGTACACCCCATTTTCTCCATTTCCCACTTGATAACTCCTCTCTCCTACTCTCTGGAGCCCCTTCTTCTCTTTTCCACCCCTGTGGCTCCTTTCCATGTTCCTGGCTCCTGAAGTTACATCAGGGTATATACTCATGTCTAAGGATTTATGGAACTAGGAGTGAGAGCATGCATCACTCATTTTTCTGAGTCCAAGTTACCTCACTCAGTATAACAGTTTCTAGTACATTGCAACCTCTACATCAAAGGCTCAGAGAACATCATGGAAGAGGTGGCAGAAAGACTGTAAAAGCTAGAGGGAAAAGACACCTACTGCTATTTGATGCATTCTTGGCATGACAGGGAAGCTACACCCATGAAATCTCCAAAGTGTGATAGCCTAACAAGATCTGCATAATAGCAAAACCAGTTTACTTGCCAATTTGTTTGGGAAAAATTTAATGAGATTCCACCTCAAGATGAAGAGCTACAGGTAATCAGTGAATGCTGAAGGGAGGGTGAATCAGTTTTCTCCAGGGACTAGCTCCCTGAAAGGTTGTCTAATTTTAAATGGGCAGCCCTTAAACACAAGTACACAGGAGCACCACTGCAAGGACTCAGTGTGTGCGCTAAAAGGAGTCAGAAAATATGTGTGTGTGTGTGTGTGTGTGTGTGTGTGTGTGTGTAACAATAATAATCAAATAAGAGGATAGATTGTGAAGGAGAGAGATGATATGGGAGAGTTGGAGGGGGACTGGAAGAAATGGAAATAATGCAAATACTCATGCATATAGTCTCAGAAAAAGTCAAATATAACCCTATCTTGTTTTAAATCTGATGAATGTATTTTAATGACTTCTATTTTTTGTTAAAAAGATATATTTTGTCATACTGATTCTTTGTTTCCTTCAAAGAAGAGCCCTATGTTTTTTCTTTTCTTAGAATTGATCAACATTACTGCAGTAGATCTAAAAGCCAGCCCTTCAGATACTTAGTCTGAGATCTCAATGGTGTTGACTCTCAACACCAGATAAACCCAATGCACTTTGGCCTTGCACAGATGCAACGTACCAAGACATTTAAGTGAAAAACAAAAACAAAAAAAAGCCTGGTATATCTTTACCTGCCTATGTAGGAAGAGCCTTGTTTCCAGAACCTATGAGTGCTGGTGTTTGTTGAACATAGAATGGCTATGCACATCAGCTTCTGAGCATGTAGCCTTAGGTGAGCTGAAGGCCTTTTCTAGTATTTTGTGTGATGCTATTATATACTCTGCTAGTTCTAAAGGAAATGCACTAGTTTTATGATACAGCACATCAGGACTGGAAATGATTTATCCCAAGACTTATCCTATTGCTAACTCATTTACCTCACATGAAATGGTTTGTTCTTGGTGTATTTGGCATTTTCATGTATTTACTATTCTCCCTTCTCTTTTCCCTGTGTATTTCAGACTCCCATATCTTTTACTGGACAAGATTCTAGCTATTTATTGATTAACTCTCCAGTCAGACTACTCTTAACAGTTACAAAAAACTGTCTTTTATGTTCCTTCCTTCAACACATTTGGTTTTCAGAAAGCATCTAATAAATAAAAAAACAATAAAAAATGTTAGCATTCTGGGGGCTGGAGAGATGGCTCAGCGATTAAGAACACTGGTTGTTCTTGCAGAAGACCTGGGTTCAAATCCCAGCACCCACATGGCAGCTAACGACTGTCCATAACTCCAGTCCCAGGGGATCTGACAGCCTCTTCTGACCTCAGTGGGCATTGCACAACATGGGTACACTTACCTACATGCAGGCAGTACATGCATACACATAAAATAAAAATAAATAAAAATTTTTTTAAAGTTTTAAAAAATGTTAGCATTCTGTTTCAATGTTTGGAATTGAACTCAGGGCCTTGAACATGAGAAAAATGTCAACTACCACTGAGCTGTACCCCTACCTAGCCCCAGTTAATATTTTTCAGGATGATGTATTATGAGAAAATACTCTAAGAACAGGGAAATTTGTATTTGAATCTTGTTAACCTAAAAGTTCTTTTGTGTGTTTTTCTTTTTCTCTAGGTTCAAAATGCTAGTGACTTGTTGATCAAGCCTCTGGAAAATTTCCGGAAGGAGCAAATAGGTTTCACGAAGGTACATTTTTGTTTTATATTTATATTATCTTTAATAATAATTGGGCATTTGTTTGGGCATTTGTTTATCATTCTACGAAGATTATTGTTAACTTTATGATTCAAATTATGGGGTCCACAAGATGTCTAGGAGGATCAAGACTTTAAGATCATCTTTGGCTACATAGGGAGTTAGAGGCCAGCCTGACCTCTAAAATGAGCTCTCTTATACATGAGACTTCGTCTAAAAACTGTCAAAAACACAAGGAATTCTGGAATTAGGTCTTGGCTATGTGGCCAACTAACTGTGTTACTGTGGATAAGTCACTTTCCTTTTAGGATTCCAGTTGCTCCATCTGGAAAATGAGGTCCATGTTAATAATAACTGTCACTGAACTAGGTGCTTTACATTCATTCTGCAATCTCAACAACCCTGGAGTATCTGAGAGTGAGGTAACTGAAGCTTGTATAAGACAAATAAAATGATAAAACTTACATACTTACATAGTTAGTGTCAATTGCCTGGGTTGGGTCCCGAGGGTGTTTTTAGCCTCAGATCTTTTTTTAAGAGTCTCATGATGATCAGGCTGGCCTAGAACTTTTGATATTCTTTCCTTAGACTCCCTAATGTTGGAATTACAGGTTTACAACACCATGCCTAACCACATTTTCTATTAAGTCATGCTGTTTAGATCTGTGATGTCCATTAATTTTCAATTTTATTTATTTATTTATTTTTGGTTAGTGTCTCTCTATATAGTCCAGTCTGGCATTGAACTTACTATGTAGCCTAGGTGGCCTCTAACTCGTGTTTTACCTGCCTTGGCCTCCTGACTGCCTGGGTTATAGGCATGTACAACCATGCTCAGTTTGTCCTTCCATTCTGATGCTATGTAAGTAAAATTAACAATTTAAGCCCTCAGTGATACTAGCCACATTTTAAGTACTCAGTAGCCACATGTGGCTAGTAGCTATTTTGTTGACCAGCTCACACATAGAACATTTCCATCATCGTAGAAAGGTCTGCCGTACAGTCCTTACCAGATAATTTCTGCTTCATCATTCCATTGACCTCTGATTACTCAATGTGTCATAAAGTAATCTCAATACTTTCAGTTTAAACTTTTCAGCCTCGTGTAGGCCTATTCCCTATATCTAGCATGTAGCCAAAGGTTTCTCTCTTGTGCAGACTAACACTGATGAATGTCAATCAGTTTTGCTAAAGAATATGAATGCAGCAGGAGAGTTATTGTTAGGTCAGTTAGAATCTTCAAGGGCCTCAAGGCATAATGAATATGAAAAGGAGTGTTGAGTATTGCTCAGCATTATAATGCTTGCTTAGCATATTTCAGACCTTGGGTTCTATTCCCATCCCTAACTTAAAAAGGAAAATGAAAGTGAGAAGAAAGGACAAACTGAGTAGTGAGCACATACCTACAGCTTGGTATCATCAAGTACGGTCTATATAAGCATTATTTGGAATGGCCAGCAGTCAAGCATAGCATATAGTCTAGATAGTCCAGGAATTATGTATCCTACTAGTTTCGTCTGGAGTCTAATTAATATTAATATTAATTGAGGAAAGAATATAATCAAAGGACAGAAGAAACTTTGAAATTACTAGTGTAAAAATAATCACCATTTGTTAAATTATATTACAATTATCTAGTATTGATTAAAGAGGATGAAGAGGTCGCATGATGTGAAACCCTCATATCTGACTCCACACTTATTCTGTACTCTAGAATTCCTCTGCAGCATCCCCCTTCCTTGGGCCCTGTGTGGTGCATGAAGCATTAAAATGAAGTATAAGATCCCTCTGCTGGGCCTTCATATAATCTGCTCATGCCTAATGGATTCCCACTGAGCCACGCTGACCCTGTGAAGCCAAGTACACCTTAGAGCATTCATACTCTCTCTGCATACCTGTTGTACTGGGTGCTGATGACGAGTATAGGCCAACAAGCCAAATAAGCAGATTTCATTAGTACCTAGCACTATATCAACACTTTCGCAGCCAGGTCTGATCCTCATCCAATTTTGTTTGCCCTGAATATTATATTTAGTCTTAGGGGACCATATAGAGTTTCCTTATATTTTTATTAATAGTTTTTTGGGGGGGCTTTTTGAGACAGGGTCTCCTTGTTGCCCCAGCTGTCCTGGAATTCACTATGTAGACAAGGCTGGCCTTGAATTCACAAAGATCTGCCTGCCTCTGCCTCCCAAATGCTGGGATTAAAGGCATGCACCACCATGCCCGGCCCTTTATTGATACTTTTCTTTTGAGCCAGATTCTCAATAAATTGCTCAGGCTGGTCTTGAACTCACTCTGTCTAGGCAGGGCTAGAATTTCTGATCCTCCCTTGCCTCAGCCTCCACAGTAGCTATCATTACAGGTCTCCACCACTAGGCCTGGCTTATTATAATTTTTATCAGACAGGGTCTCCCTGTAGTCACAGCTGACTTGCAACTTGCTATGCAGACCCGGCTGGCCTTTATCTCACAGAGAGCCACCTGCCTCTGCCTCCTGAGTGCTGGGATTAAAAGCATATACCACCATGCTTGGCTTTTTTAAAATAAAGATTTTATTTATTTTTATTTTATGTGTGAGCATTTTGCCTGCATGTATGTAAGTGCACCATGCATGTGCCTGGTGCTCTTGAAGCCAGAAGATGGCATGAAATCCCCTGGAACTGGAGTTATGGATGGGTGTTACCCATCATTTGTATGCTGGAAACAAAACCTGGGTCCTCTGGAAGAGCAGGAAATGCTCCTCCTATGCATTGAGCTATCTCTCTAGTTTCTGTAATAATTCGTGTTAATGCATACTATATCCTGAGTGGACCTAAACTGAATACACTGTTGTTAGCTGGTATTGAAACTTCACCAGCTGTTGATAGGCACTGTTACTGGCAACAGGGAAATAGCCCAGTACTGCCAGAGGTAGCCTGAGGAATTTCCTTCTCCGTTAGCAACTTACACTCAGGTAAAGCCAGATCTTTGACTATGTTGCAGAAAAGAATTTCAGAATGAGTTAGTGTGGGGCAAAGTTAGTAAACTTTTAACTATTTAATCAGAGAGTCATATAGGAAAATATTTGAACATAATCCTAAGGCATGGGTGGGGGCTTCTCGAGATAGTCATGGTTAATTGTCCTTGTGCTGGCTGTTTATGTGATCCTTCAGCTTTTAAAGTTACATTACTCAGCAATGTAATTTACAGCAAGGTTTAAAGATTAAGCAAAGCTTAAAGTTTAAGCAAAGTTTACACGCTAAGTAAAAATATTTGAGCTGATGTACTTACATCTCATAGAGTATTTTCTATTCTCAGTGAAATGGTAAAGTAGTTTTTTTGAGGTGCACTGTTGAGAATTAGAGATGAGAGAATAGTATTAATGTGGTAGAACTCAAAATTACAAAAATTCTGGCCCTGAATAAGCATAGTTCAGTCACTGTTTTTAACATTCTTATTTGTGAGGTCCTGGGAAAATCATACATTATCTTTACAGATAATTTTTGGCTTTATGAGTTGCACTGAAGTTCCTTGACTCCCAGACAGCAGAAAAGACTAGATCTTAGGGTGAGGGGCTTTTCCTTGTCATGTCCCCTTCCTATTTTTCTATCTTATCTTTGTCCTATGCCTGGCCTTGCATATACAGATGTATGTTCTCCCTTATACCTTTGAATAATCCTGGAAAGTAGAGGTTGCTATTCCCCATTAACAGATGAGGACCCTGAGGTTCATTGTGGTATGGTATCTGAGATCACTCGGCCAGGAGTGGCATTGCTTGGATTTGAATTCAGTTATCCCAGTTGTAAATGGAAGGGTTATTTCATTTTGTAAGATATAATCTTCCTGTGTACAATAAGAGCAGTGAACTCTAGATATGTTGTGCTTATTTTCTATTGATCCCAGATAGGGCATCAACTACAGATCAAAGTAACACTTCCATACAAGCTCAGCTAGGTGAATCAGTGAGTTTACTGGGCTTGCTATTGGGAGCACGCATGATAGGTTGCTTACTGGAGCATGGGTGATTCAAAGGCAAGTGCATAACCAATAATTTCCTCTCCAACATGGGTGATGATTCATGAAAACCATACCACTTGAGTCCTATGAGTGATGACCTTAGGGATGCTGCATTACTGGATTTCTACCTGCAGTTGACCTTGCACCTCCTATATACTTTAGCAGGTCTCCCAAGAGCACTTGTAGCTGTGGACAAGAGTAAGTTGTTGGGATCAGAACACGGCCTGCTCTAAGTTATTCCATGTTGTGTGAAACTGGTTTTTCGGATTCTGCTATGCCCTGAGAGACTCCATTTTACAATCAGATTTTGACTCCCTTCTGATGGAAATGTGAATGTCACCATCTGTCTGCCAGCATAGAATAAAAAAAATAACTTGTTTAGGGGTGTAGAAAGGGTGCCACCTTATAAATTTATCAGGGTGAATTGAGAATGTGGAGCATATGGAACTATGAAAATCATATCAAGGAGACCAGACCCAAGAAGTTAACAGATGCACACCTAGGAAAGCATGTAACTGCTCTCACGTGGAACTCATAAGGAGGTACTGTGATGGCAGTAGCCCCTCCTAACCCTCATAACACTGACCACCCAGTCTATGACTTTAGGACCAACATGTAGAGAACTCCCAACTGTCCTAGAGACTTCAACTTGGCTGGTCCTTGCTGTTGATGTAGCCTGCTTGAATTGCTGTCAGCTCATTCCCTTGTTTGCCAATCTGGACCTGCCCACCTTCTCATTCATCAGCCCATTCCTTCATCTGGACCCAGCCCTACCTACCCTTTTGGCTTCTGTGCTGGACCCAACTCTACATCTAATCCACTGACTTTTCAATTTGATTCTAAGGCCAGCAACCAGCCTTTAGTTAGCAGCCATAGCACTTATCCAACTTCTTCTGCAGCTTGGTTTCATCCATTATCCTATCAATATAGAGAACTTTACATCTATCAGATTTCCAACTTTGGCTTCTCAAGCTTTTGAAGCTATTTGAAGCT